CATTTTTTCTTTTGCTGCTTATCCCAACATTTCACGCACCAAACAATATTTTCTGGTTTACAATATTTTCTGGTTTGCTTCAACCTTGCTGACAATTACCTTGATTTCAGTTTCATAAAGGTTCCTGTTTTTCGCCCTTTTTGCCACAATGATGACGAGAGGCGAGGAAAAAATAAATCTTCACTTGCTTATAAAGAAGTGTGTTGTTGCACGGAGGTTAAGAACAAGTGGGATTTATCAACACTGACATTTGATAAATACAGATTTTTTTGTACTTACGCACACTCTAAATTTCATGCGTACGGCAGAATTTAGAACCTTTTCTACGCACTGATGATAAATGAGGCCCCAGGTTTGCTCATGCAACCAATTTGTCAAAAATGGTATCATATTATAATTGTCCTCTTACATTACATTACACCACGCCCACGTCATTTAAGCCATTCATGCTTTATCAGGAGTGTTTTTTGTTTCAGTTTACCAAAAAAAAGCTGGTGTTTGCTGAATGGTTGGTATGGCACATTTACAGCAGTACCATTCACCATTTTGTCCAAGCTTGCTCTATTACCTGTCTGGTGCTTTCAAATCTGCATTCTCCCACTTCTTAGGTCGCATTTGATCTCTCCATGGAGCTCAAATTGGCTGCAGACTCACGAGAAATGATGCTTGCATGTAATGGACATCATATGGAAGACAACACCTTAGAAAGAGTTCACTTTCAGTGCTGTTTGTCATTTTCTTCATTAATCTCATGGTTTGTTGAGAGAGAACACAAGCACAGCCACTAATAAGGATGACAGGACCAGAGGCTCAGTGAATAAGGTGTCCATGTACATATTGTGAAAATAACAATAACAATACCAAACCAAGCAGGGGAGTGATCCAGGGAAGGTCAGTAGGCAAGCAAACCGAACTAAAGGCTAACTATGTAACTATGGAAACAGAATACAGAAAACCCAAGAAAACAAAACTCACAGAAGGCCAACAATAAATACTAAATGCATGAAGCAAACACACTGGGTTAAGAATCTACGGGGAAGTCACAATGCACCAATTACCAGCTGAGCTTGGAAACAGGACAGGTGATAAACACAGAGTACAAGGAGCTAATACATGGAGCTAAGAAGCTAACACAAGACCTTAATTACAACCCAGTCTCATGGCAATTCGTTAAATAGTCACGAAATTTAATCTATTGTTTCTATTGCCCGACTTTTTCATGTTCTCCAGCACGAATTTCAAACCAATACATTTAAATTGGCTTCTAATTCAACAATGAAACGGGCTAGAATCACGGGACCAACTGTTATACAAAGCTCTTGACTTCTACTATCATGTAGGCTGTGGCTTGATGTTCTCACCAGCAGGGAGCATCACAAAATGTGGTAAAAATTTAATTTCACCTATATATATCAATTTCATTTGTAAAGTCAGTCCAAATAAACATGGTCCTCATCAATGTAAATCCCTAAATGGACTTAAAGTTTTATATTTCACCCTCCATTTAGGAGAAACGGCTATTTTGAAGAAAGAACTACAGCTTCCAGTAGCATTACAATACAGCATGATTGGACACGCCATGAAATATGGAGTTCTTCTTGGGGTTTACAACAAGGCTTGTGTTTTTGTGTTAATAAACTAAAACAAACGGATTGAAGTACTGACAATTGTGCTACTGTTAAAGTACAATATGTGTAGTATGAAATAAATTGCCACGAGACTGGGTTGTTAATTACTAACAGAGCTAGGAGACAAGACTAAAGGCTAACCAAAACCAGGTATAACCAGGCAAGGAGAACCACTAGGAATAATGCTAAGGAAATTATAAGGAGTGATGGAATTCATAATGGAAAACAAAAAAGAAACACAAGGCAAACTTAGCCAGCAGATTGGGCCAGGCTCTGCGCTGATGTCCACACACTGCTGATGAGGTAGCAGCACACACACCGAAGGAGAGAGGGAAAGTAGGAAGAGAGACTGCAGCCAATCAGGGCACAGACTAGAACTCTGACGATTAAAAGAATGTAACAGAATGAATAATCTCACACATTGTTTGGCTGCTTTACAGGTGCACTAAATTTTCCATCAATTTTCCATCAATTTCCGGCATAGTTGCTGAACTTATTCTTGCTACCAGTGGTTGATATTTGTGTCCTTTACAAGGGAACTTCAGTTATAATTTTATAATCCCATAATTCTGACGTTGTAAAACAAAATCATGACAAGTTTTATCAGATAAGTCGTAATGAGGACGATCATTTAACATATTTTTCACACAGCAACGTGCTTCTATGCAGCACGGTCCCATCTGCTATAACATTACGTACTTTACAATGAATATACTTGCACTTAATTAGCTTCATTCATCCTGAACAGATTTCAGTTCCCTCACTTTTCCCTGTCTGTCCTTGCTGAATGAGTCTTATGCACTTTTTTAGTGTAACCTTTTGTTTATCAATGCTGCAAAAATATGTTTAAAAAAAAAAAAAGCTTTTAAGTAGCTACAGCAAATACACCAGTTTCATAGAGTGTATAGACTTAGAGTTATATTCTGATTGTGGTGAAAGGAGAAGGGCCATGAGCCATTTCCAAGTTCAATTTCAGTCAGCTTCCCTTAGCTGAATGTGGTGACTGACAGCCTGAGAGCAGTACGGGAGCCTCCAGGTTCAGCTGAACTCAGTGTCCTTCAGCCTGCCGCAGCCTGTCTGTCTGTTCATTTACTTCACACACACAGAAAGCAAACAACTAGCTAACAAGTAGTGTTCAAATAGACTGGAATGTTACCCAGTGACTTTTTGATGACTTTTGGTGATTATATAACAAAAACAAACCTGTAACCCAGTGAATGATAAATGTAATTACACCAAATAAAATCTAATGAACAATAGCAGAATTTGTAGATTGAATGAAAATTCTGAAGTCAAACACAAACAACTATGTCATGGAAGTAGAACTGAGTGGGATCTCCATAAAACTCAGGTTAGAAGCAGTCCTTAAGGAATACTACGAACTAAAAAGCCATTCCTTTGATGTGGAAATGGAGCCAAGCGAGTCATGAAACACAAAAACTGGGTCACAGACAAAGTAGGAAGGTGCTCTGGACTTCATATTTGAAATATTTTTCTGCAAAACATGTATATACAGTATGTATACATTTATACATCCACCTTTTTAACCCTCAAAGTTACTTTTTCATATGAAATAATGTTAGAATATTGTTTGTTCAGCTGTTGTGTGTTTGTGTACATGTCAACATTTGTGTTTCTGCATTTATGAGCAAATCTTCATCATTGTCTCTGCACATATGCCTTTGCACTCCATGGACCTCATAATTGATCCTGCAGCATTGTCATCTGCTGTGCATTTGTGCACTTAACATTTTTGCAGTCGCTTGCTGTTCCTTTACCTTTCGATACTGCCTTCACCATGGACTGCCTGCAGTGCAGCACTCACAGGGTACTCAAAACTCCCCCTCCGCCAACACAAAGACACACATACACACCACCTCCCACCTCCGGTTTCCTCCTGAGTGCTGACCTGCACTGGTCCTTTAATATTGGTGACAGCTAATACACTTCTAAATGATCAGTTATTATCTCAAGGGCCTCGTCCATAGGGCCCCACTGATTCCAAAGGTCATCCCTCTGTCTTCCAGTATTGATTAAGTGGGCCTGTTAACGTGGCTCTGGGCCTTACCGAAAGTGAACATTGCCACTAACATATTTCCATCAGCTGTGTCTGGCTGGAGAGGTCCATTTAAAAGCCTCTTTGACTCTGTCGCAGCCCCAGTGAATAGGGCAGGATGAGGAGCATAATGGATATGCCAATAAGGAAAGTAGAGCTACTAAAATATACCGAGGGCCACAGGCAAGACAGACACAAGGCGATGTCCTGCTGAGATACTATAGGATTTTTTTTACTCAGTCTTGTCATTTACCCTCCTTTTAAAATGAACAAATTTTAAGATAGTAATTGGAGAGGAAATCTGACCATTCTGACTCCACATTTAATATTTTAACAATATGTTTTTGCAATTCATAAGAAATGTATATAATTATAATGCAAAGTTGCATTGTCCTAATACTGGGAACGGAGAGATGGTAATGGAGTATAGAGAGAAGGACCCTAACCCCGACACTTCAGCAACACACAAAACACAGCAGCTAAAATAAAACAAAAACAGACAATGAATATAGTTGTTAAATAGAGTTGCATGGATAATAAGTTAATTTTATAATATTCCTCCATTTGCATATATTTTACTTGACATACTTGTGTACTGTAGTTGTGAGAGTTAAGAGTTACAATGGATGAGAAAGTAGAAAAAGCACAAATCCAAAACAGTACAAAAAGCAAAAAAGTGTTTTTCATGCAGTTTTTGTGACTTTTTTCATTGGAGGCACATTAACAGACTTATGTGTGGGTCTGCTATGATAAGCTGCTGTTAACGCCGTAAAAGAGAAACTGATTCAGTTGGTCATCTTTGAAATGATTGTTTTCAATAGTGTCTCAATTTCACTGTATTTCCTGCAAATGCTTTCAATATGAAGTCAGCCATTTATTTAAAAAGGTTTGAACACAACATTACAAACACCTTGCGTAGGGCTTTGAATGAACTGATTTCATAGCATTGTATGTTTGTGCTCAGTGGCTGTGTTTTAGAATCAGTTAAATGTGAAACCTGATGCAAGGGATTGTTTAGAGCTGACAAATGTCTTTCTAAGGTTCCTAGATGTGAAAATAACTATTTAATTTTCCTGATATTGTGCTAGCACTAGTGTGGCAGTGTACGTCTGAGTGTGATACACTCAGTGTGCTCAAGGTTATTTAGAGATATGCCTGAAAGAACTCAGTGTCCTGATCTGTGCTGGTCATAATCGTAAACAACTTGTTCAGGAAAAAACCCACAGACCTCCCCCGTTGTCACTGACCAAGTGTGCTGATTTTCTTTGGTTGGAAAATGTTAAAGAAATGACATCATTTTTTTCTTTCTTTTTCAGTTGTATGAATTGGATGATGATGAAAAGCGTAAAGAGTTTCTTGATGACCTTTTCAGTTTCATGCAGAAACGGGGTAAGTAATATTCTTCTACTTATAATTACATTTCAGTTTGCCCTAAAGTCAATTTACCTCACTGGGAGAAATTCATATCATCCACAACCAAAATGTTCCATAGCATATAAGCAACTATACTGCATTTCAGTGACTAAAACCCCCTATCCACCCCTATCACCTTTCAACAAGTTTGAGACCCATCAAAATCCAATGGAAATGCAAAACAAAACTATTTTGGCCAAATGGGCCTGTCAGACAAATTCTGTACATGAAAAATCGTAGACTCAAATTTAAAGCTTCCCAATCTCTCCATGGCCCATAGTGTTATGTAAGGAAACTTAAAAGGGACTTTATTAAACATTAATATAGTGTGTCATGTAAATGATATGTATTGTAATTACACATTATGTACGTATTATTTAGGTTAGTGTATAAATAATAATGCAATAATTCATTTTGTAATTGTTTTCACATATTTACGGGGGGAGGTCAAACAGTTTGTAGAACGGGGTATTTACTCAAGCTTCACACATAATGTCTTTACATATCTAGACAACGCAACGTTTCACTAGTTCAGACATATCAAGTTTACTTGTCACAACACATTTGTGTGATCCTCAGAGACATTCTAAGTTGATGGCCATCAAGCAGTTTAGGGCAGTGATAAAATTCCTCACAAAAGAGCCAAATGCCAAAGAAATCCACCAGTGGCTGGCTGAGCTATATGGTGATATTAGTCCTGTCGAGAGTCCTGGCTCCACCCTACAGTCCAGATCTGAACCCCAGTCATTGTTACCTGTTTAGACATTTGAAATCACATTTGCATGGAACTAGATTTCCTGATGATGATGAGCTCAAGGCAGAGGCATGGTTTGAGGACCAATTGAGGTCAGTGGTGACTATATTGAAAAATAATAGTACAATGCATTGTCTGCTGCTGCATACTATATATATATACCTTATTGTTACTCGTTCTTTCAACCTCCCCTTGTATGTGCGTGTTCTATGGCAATATCAGAATGGAAATGGGAAGGCTGTTTGATATTTAATTTTCAAAGTTTTGCCTCATTGTACAGTGGACAATAATTAAAAGCAAAAGCTCCCAGCCTGTTGCATTTATGTTTACATGTCACCAACATTTGAAAATGTAAATGAAAATTGTATTCAATCTTTCATGTTTAAAGACGAAAGCTGCTGTACAGTCGGCAGTATTCAAATAGAATAAGCCCCCAGCCTTTTGTATTTACATTTACATGTCGCCACACTCTTTTGGGTCACAATGAAAATCTGTCAGTTCTCTCATCAAGGCATAGCTTCAGTTGGAATGTGTTTCCTCCTTCAGCTCCACTCTAAGAGCAGTCATCACTGTGAGGACAGATGCAGCTTTGCCCACAATTTACATAGTAGAAGAAGAATAAGACATTACAGGCTCACAGCTATTTTTTTAAGTTACCACACATCATTGACAACAGTAGGTGGCAAAATTGTATGATCTGAAACACCCAGTCGTACAGTGCTGTATGCTGTGTACTCTGTTGTTCTGTTAAAATAGCCGCTGCTTTCAGTTTGCGTAAATGGAAATTAGCATAACAACTGAATCACATTCTATTCAAGCTACCTGTCATTCACAAGGTGTGCTAACGTGGTCACTGCTTGCTCATTGAATTTTAGGATAGGTTTGGTAGTGGTAGATATAACCCTGCCATTGGCCAACAATCTCAGTTGGCATTCTCCCCCCCTTCACGATATGAGTGTTAAAACTTTGTTTGAGACCGGAAACTACAACAGCAAGCTGCAACCTACGACACTGAAAATGACACTGAAAGTAGCTCAACAGGCTGATCGGGCAACCCATGAACAGGAGCTATAGTCCTGTTTGTGGGTTTGAATCTGGGCTGTGGGCCATTTGCTGCAGGTCCTTTCCTCACTCTTCTCAACTTCTGTGTCTTCCTCTCTCCACTTCCCTGACTAATAAGGCCAAATAATAATAATAATAATAATAACATTAAATCTGCTATTTTTTGGGTTGGATTATCCCTTTTAGTCACAGTTCTTGTCTTCCTGCATGCAGCCAAACTAGGTAGTCTGAACATGAAAACGTGTGGTGTGTGTGAGCAGTTGTCTGTTGGGGTGTATGAAGGTGACAGGTGAGTGGTTTCTCTGTCGGTCTGGTAATTCACTGTGGACAGAGATTTATACTTACTAAGAACTAGAGAATGCTATTTTTTGTTAAAATTTTGTAAACTGTGTGGACATAGTCTATAGTGCAGTATTTCTGTCAGGTTTATATGTTTCAGTCTCCTGCCAGTGCACCTGCAATGGACCTGTGCACAGCATGGTGGAACTGCTGCTACTTATGAACTATCTATTGCTGCTGCTGCTGACCAACTTCATATAATATGACTTGTTTAGCAAGTCCTGAGAACAATAACATGATTATTTATTAATCATTTATATACTTTAGAAATCACTCAATGAAAATCTGATGTCCTTTGACACCAAAAAGTTGTGGTGACATGTAAATATAAATGCAGAAGCTTGGGATTATTGCATTTGAATGTTGTCCACTGCACTGCACTGTAGCAACTGTAAATTACATGCCAAGAAGCACTACTATTTTCCATTTAATATGGTAATAGAAGATCAATACATTTAATTTTGACTTAAAAAACATGTACTTATTCACAAACTTGTAACACTGTTGTACAATGTTTATTTTCAACTCTATGTTATGATTTTAATGAATAACCTTATGGGCTGGTAAATAAAATGGTAAACTAGGAATGATGAATACAGCAAAAGAAAATCCTTATTCACTTTTTATTTTTTTAAAAGTCATTTATCAAATGTAGCTGTCATGATGTCACTTCCATTCAAACATGTGTCCAAACTATGTTTGCTGAGGAGGATTTTGTGACAAAGTTAAAAGCTTTAGAAAAACTCAATTGGTAGACTGCATTATTTATGTATAATTTAATAATAATTTATGAGTCTACCAACGGAGTTTGACTTGTTTGATTTATGTTTGCTAAAACTCATTTACAATTTAGTTTATTACACAAGAAAAAAACATGACAGAAATTTTTTTCTTAATCACTGAAAAACCCCCTTACACCCCATTACTTTTTTCTCAGAGAATCATTAAAATAGTTCTTTGTCATGAATGTAAACATAAGCAGCCCTGCAGGTTTCAGCTTCTGTGCTTGTACATATACACTTCAGACGTAGTTGAAGGAGCCCCCCCCCCCCCAACAGGCTTCTTTTTTTTTCACCTATGGTATCATTAGTGTGTTTTCCCAAAGATAAGATTCCTGTTTTTTGTGGTTTTATTGGGGAAATGTATCTATGTTTAAACCCTTGCATAATATGAGGAAGTTAACCACCCAACCGACAGGACAGAATAAAAGGCACAACCACAATGACTGTCTATTTTTAGGAGCACAAGGCCTGCGTGCCGTGTTTTTGTTGTTTTGAATGACTTGTTCTGTATGTTTGACAAGCTTGCAGATGCCCTTGTTTTATGTCCTTAACTGCATGTCCTTGACTGACAATGCAATGACTTGGAATTAGGGAAAAAACAGATATTTTGTGTAATTTGTTTTTAATTCTATCACATCTGAATTTCTAAAACAAGGACACCAAAAAATGGTCTATTTTGGATTGTTTTTAACCAATCAATTTTATTTCTTTGCCTAGCAATACTAGGTTCTAACATTTAGTTTCTTGTGCAATGTATTGTAAGAAAAAAATCATAATTACCACAGCACACGTCAGAAATAATATCCATCCATCCATTATTTATACACCACTTAATCCTCACTAGGGTCGCGGGGGGGCTGAAGTCTATCCCAGCTGACTCAGGGTGAAGGCAGGGGACACCCTGGACAGGTCACCAGTCTATCACAGGGCTACACTTAGAGACAGACAACCAAGCACACTCACATTCACACCTACGGACAATTTAGAATCATCAATTAACCTCAACATGGACTGTATGGGAGGAAGCCGGAGAACCCAGCTGCACGGGAGAACATGCAGACTCCATGCAGAAAGATCCTGGGTGTCCTCATCGGGATACGAACCGGGGACCTTCTTGCTGTGAGACAACAGTGCTAACCACTGAGCCACCTTGCAGTCCTCAGAAATAATATCAAATATAAAATCTAAATTAATATAAAAACACTGATTGTGTTTTACTCACAGAAAACGTAACTCTTATGTACCCATGAAGGTAATTTTTATCCTTTTCATTTTTGACTTTTAGATCATTTTGGCTGTACTATGCATTTGTCATAAATTGTAACCTCCCCTATAATACATCAATAATACACTGTGTGCGCAAATAAGGATCAGGACGCAGTCAGAACCATAAAGACAAAAATGTCCCGATTGAAACCCATTAAAACTTCTATTTTTGATCTCTATACCATTACATTGTGAAATCATGCATTCTACCTTATTAGGCTTTGATTCCAGAGCTTTGGCCTTAAAATTGTCATCTGTATTGTTTTCCACTAGATTGTTTCATTTTTACTTATTTGACCGCTCCAGCAAAAACAAGCTTTACTTGATTTTTTGATTTCTGCTATATTATAGATCACAGAAGGTCAATGGAATCAGTGTTTGCAACTAAAATGCTTTGAGGGTGTTGGTAGGGATGTCACAGTGTGGTGTGTATGTGTGTATTGAAAAATTTGTCTGTGTGTGCGTTTATGTTCGTGTACATTTTGAGATATAGAAATTCTAATGTACTGCAGATCACATATTACACCCTACTGCCTCTTTTTGTCTTCTTTTTGTTCTCTCATGTCCCAAGAGTTTTATTAAAAATCTGAAAGTGTATGAAAAATAACAATGCATCATAGTCAGTATTGGTGCTAATAATTGCACATCCTGGACTGTGATTGTTTAAAAAAAAAAAAAAAAAAAAATCTATTTTGCAAATGTTATATGAAAAATAATGTTTTTTCCAGAAAAAACAACTATGGTGTTATGTAAACACATATGCAGCTAAAATC